GCGAGATTGGACGACAAAGTGGGGAGAGTTTTAAAGCCAATCGCTGAACATGGTAATGCAAAAAAAAAAAGCAATTGTGAGTTACAGTAATGCGCTATCCAAAGCTGAAGTCGATGCTGACTAAAAAGATATGTGATATTTATAATTATAATCTTGTAAATTCTTTTAGTTGTTTACAGTAGTAGAAATACACTGTTGTTGTTGTTGTTGTCGTTGATAAGACATCCATATACCTTGACTGTCCTTATTCAGTTGAATAAGGTCCCTAAAGTAAGGCCAATAAAATTAGGTCGCTTATATTATAAAATGTCTCATTACAAAGTTTTAATCAAACTCGACTCTGGTTTAAGAAAGGTTTTTACAAGTCTTGATTAATATAATTATACACCATGGAACTAATATGACTCAAAATAATCAGGTTCACAACCAAGAAGATCCCGTAAGTGTTCATACATATCTCACAAGGCCGAAAGGTTGGATAAATTCCGTTCACAACCATATCGCTGTGCTAAAGATCCAATTTTGCGCTAAACCGAAATATCATGATCACTTAAAAAGTCTCGCCTTCCTTATGGATCAAAATTATAAAAAAAGAAAAAATTCTTGCATCTGATTGGCTATCAACAGGCCCGATTTGTATTTGGACAAATATAACTGGACGGTGCGCGTCATTTTGCACGCGCTGCTCCCTTTGCGTTTTTACATGTGTAATTGAATAGGTTCCTTTCTCGTTTTTCTGAGTCAAAAACAAACTCAAATGTTATCATTTTATTTATTATATATTATAAGAGTTATGGTTATCAAATTTTGTTGTATCATACTCGTGATTAAACAAATTGAATACTCGCATCATAATCGTCCGATTTTTTTCACCGCTTGACCGTATGATTACAGACCGGTTTGGAATGAGCATAATGATAGCAGCAACAACCAAAACTCAATTTAAAATGCCAAAGTCATTCCTTTTTCCACGAAGTAGTCAAGTAACTAGATAGGGACGTAAGCCACGTCAAGAAAGCGCCGCATCGAAGCTCAGGAATTTCAAATAAGCGCTGCGTTGTTGTTTAGGTGCGGCGCTCAATGCGGCGCTCAATAGGCCCTTTGCAGTTGGGGTCACGTGACCAAATTTCTCCAAGAAAATTTTCATATTATGGGCTATAACTTAAAGAATGCCAGGAATGGAGAGAGCGCATCGAAAATACCAAAATGGCCAAGTTTGAGGCCCTTGGCATTAAAGAGTAAGTTTATACGACAGCTTGAATT